CTGGACTTGTCGCCCTCCTCGATCAGCTCGTTGCACCTGCACTCCCACATCCTGTGCTTCCGCGTCTCCGGCCCCTCTCCGCACCTGGGGCATGAGACGCTGCCGATCTCGACCCCCAATGCTGTGACCCTCTGCCGCGGCCAGACACCGCCCACCAGGATGGCGAGGTGCGCGCCCACCACCTCGCGCGTGCGCTTCTTCTTGAGCCGAGGCCCTAGACGAGTGCCCCGAGAGGCCCAAGCCTTTGATTTGCCATAGGATTTTGAATGCTTTGGGTGTCCTCTACTTTTCGAGTTTCCGACCGTCCACGACGGCCCAAGAGGCTTCCAACACCGACTCAGGACGGGCCAAGAGGCTCCCAGGAGGGCCCCGCGAGAGCCTAACAGGGCTGCATGACGGCCCCAGGGGCGCTCAAGGCGGCTCAAGAAGCCTTAAAGAAGGCCCCAAGATGGGCTCAAGCGGGAGAGCATGGACCGAATGTAGATAGACATGCATCAACGACATGCACATAACAGTAATGTTTGAACACAATTTTTGTACATGTATATACACATGTGTGTATACTTATAGCTATGTGTATAGTTAGATGTATTTAGATGGGTGTGTACGTGTATAGAACCGAACACGCATACATGCACACATGCACACTTACTTACATACGTGCATAAACTTATCCATACATACGTGCATGCATGAAGGCTTGCATGCATACAATCCATTACACCACATTTCATCACATGGCAATACATTGCATTCCAAACACGCATGCATACATGCATACACACAGCAAACCATACATACACGCATGCACATATACACATACATGCACAGTCATACATATACATATGCATACATACACACATACATACATACATACATACATGCATACATCCATATACGCATGCATCCAGGCATCCATTCATACATGCATACATGCGTACATCAATCCATACATGTATCCATGCATGCATGCATATATGCATGCATACGTGCATGCACCCATACATACATACAGGCATACGTACATACAATCACACATTTACAGACCTATTACCAGCTACACGAATTCATACAATCGTACGTACATGCATACCAACACAGAGAGATCGACATAACGACAGACAAACAGGCAGACAGACAGAGGCAGACAGGCAGACAGACAGACAGAGACGGACAGACAGACAGACATGCCGACAGGCAGACACACAGACAGACAGACTGACAGGCAGACAGACAGACACACAGACCTGCATACATACATACATTACAGTGCATTTCGTTCCATACATGCATGCACCCATACATACACACACATACATGCATACACACAACCATCTATACGAACATGTATATCTATATACGTATGTATACATACCTACATGCACACACATACATACATATATATATACGCATGCATGTATATATATATATATATACATGCATGCGTGCATGCATACATCCACACATTCACACTTGTACATGCATGCGTACATGCGTGCATACACACATACATGCACACATACTCAACTACATACATGCATGGCTACACACATGCATGCACTCATGGATGCATGCATACATGTAACCTTCCATGCAAGCATACATACATACAAGCATACACACCTTTACCTACATACGTACATCCACACGTATACATACCGTCATACGCACATGCATCCCGACACATCGAGACAGACATAAAGACAGAGAGCCAGGCAGACAGACAGACAGAGACAAAACAGACAGACATATAGAAAGATAGACAGACAGACACGCAGACAGACACACAGGCAGACATACAGACAAACAAATATATAGACAGACACACAGACAGACAGGCAGACACATATATATATATACATACATACATGCATACATACACACATAAAACACGGGGGGGCTTGGCCCGGGGCCCCCAGGGTCGCGATCCCGACTGCAAGCGCCCGCGAACCCGACTGCAACTGGAGGGAACCAGAGGCCCAGCCTGCCTGTGCGGGCCCATAATCGCTTCTGAGGGCCACTGGGCAGGGGGCTCCGACGGCCCAAGATGCATTTCGAATGGCCCAAGAGGCGTTCACGTCGCCTCAAGACCGCGCCAAGAGGACCCCCTAGAGGGCCCCAGGAAGCATACATCGTCCCATTCTCTAGGGGAATGCCCTTTTAGTTTCAATACGAGCCAAGGCGACCCAATAGGTCTCCAAAACCGCCCTAGGACTCGCCAAGAGGCCCCCAAGAGGGCTCGTAGACGGTCCAAGAGGGCTTCAAGACGGACCAAAATGCCCCGAAGGCGCCCCGAAGACTCCCCAAGAGGGGTCCACGCGCCCAAAGATGAGCCCGTTGCCGCCAGCACGACCCCAACCGGCCCCAAGAGGCCCCAAGGCCCAAAGAAGCACCCAAGAGACCCCAGCACGCCCCTGGGAAGTCCCCAGGAGCCCTCCAAAAGCTCCCAACAGGGCTCCGAAAGATATGCGAAGCGACCGCACGAATGAGGCCTCTGGCC